GCACGTCCAGCTGCCCCCCGCCGCAGCCGGAGCCGTGCCCGTGCCCTGCAAGCTGAATCCTGCCGAAGCCCTCTCCCCCAAGGTCTACGGGGGCTTCCAGCTCGTTCCTGCTACCGACGGCCAGTTTGCTTTTCTCATCCCGAACCCTGCCTTTCCACCCAGCTCCGGACCGGTTATTCCTCTCTATGCCAACGCCAACGTCCCGGTGTCCGCAGGCGGGTAACGCGGCAGCCCCCCCGTCGGCATCCCCGGTGCAGGGGTTGACATCATTTGGGGGCAGCATTGTTCCAGCGTCCCAGGCGGGGAGTCCCATCGGCGAGCGCAGTGAATCGGTGTGGAGGCCTTGGTGACTTGCCTAAAACGATTCCATACCCTCCCACCCCCTACCCCGACCCCTCCCCAAAAAAATCAACTCTTCTGTTGGCTCCGTTGTATGGAGCCCTGTTATGTTTGGGTTTTTTAAGCAGATTTAAACAGAAAGGAAAAAAGGACCTCACTATGAACGTGCTATTTATTATTTTCAGAGGTTGGGATCTCAACTTGTATTTTTACTCCTTTAAAATGCCTTTATTTGAGATACTTTTTTTAAAAAAAAATAAATGAGAAATAGTTTTGTAACAAATATTCAAAAGTATAATGCCAAAGTTGTTTGTATCCAGTTTGTCTGTGCGTGTGTGCGTGCCTGTGTTGAAGACTTCCAAAAAAAAGAAAAGGAAAAAAAAAAAGTTGCAGGTGTTTAAATAAATAAAACTCTTGGAAATAGATTTATTTCCCTTCCTGCCCCTCTTTCCTTTCATTTTTGTTGGGTGAGAGTGGGCAGGGACAAGGCTTGGAAATAGATTTATTTCCCTTCCCGCCCCTCTTTCCTTTCATTTTGGGTGAGAGTGGGCAGGGACAAGCTCATCCTGTGTGTGCCACCCCCTCAAAAAGAGAGTAGGAGGGAACTTTATGGCCTTAAATAAGGCTGGTGGAAGGGATTTTTGTGGAAAAATAGCCGGAGGGGGGAAAGGTGATGGGTTTAGGGAGGGTCTGTCAGTATTAAATGTCTTTGCAAGTGTCACGTTCCCACTTGGAAGAAACAGATTCCTCCAAATCTGCTCCTGGAACCTGAGGAAAGCACGCGGCTGGCTACCTGCTCAGAGCCGGAATAACGCTGCTCTTCAGCTGGGGATGGGGGGTGGTGTGCGCAAAAGTTACTATCTCGCCCACAAAAGAGGCAAGAGAGTCTGTCCCCATTGTGAGGAGGGTAATTAGAAGGTATAAAGGGTCTCATCGAGTATGCAGCGGGCTCTTTGGGAAGTTGGGAACCCTATTGAAACGCCTGGGAACTCGGAGCTGAGGGTTAATGTGTGTCTTTTTTTTTCTCGCCACTCTCATTGACAGGGCCAGATAGACTCCGATACTCAATGCTGTTGTAAATTCAATTGCCTGGCCTCACAATGCCTACCTCATAAAAGAGAATAACTCGGGGTTGTGGCTTGAGTCTTTTTTTTTTTTTTTTATTCCAGTAAGCCAGGGAACTGAGGAAAAGACAGTTTTGCCACCCATTCTGACTCACCCCCAGTACTTGAATCCTGGCCAAGTGGAAGCAATTGCAGCCTCGCACACAGAGAATTAACCACTTCCAATTGTCACCAATTAATAAGGCCGTGGTGTGGAGAAAGACCATTAAGAGAATGCACAGTATGGAAGGGAAAGCTTTGTGCGCTTTGCTCCAAATTTATGAGGTGGGGCTATCATGTAATCTCGGAGAGAAGAGCCAACAGATGACATGTGTGCTCGCCAAAGCCACAGCCAGAGGCATAACCCATCTTGGCTGGGCTTCCTCCACCCCCGTAGGCAAAGCTGGTTCTCCTGACCCTCCCCTTCCCAGACCAAGGGATTTTCCTGTGGTCGGGCTGGGCGGGTTGGGTCGCGGTGGGACCGGCAGCGTTTTCGCAGTTGAGAGAACGACTTGATGTTTGCAGAGCGTCCAATTAATTCAACAACAGGCCTCGGGAATTTTAGGATGGAAATTTCATCTCACAAGGTCTAGTTCTACTAGCAATGAGGTTACAGCTTCCGTGGGAGCACGGCATTGTCTGTGTGTGTGTTGGGGGGTATCTAAAGCAGATTAACCGCTGCTGAAGGCTTTCTTACACCTCCATCAGATTTCGGCCAAGGTTAGATGCAGGAGCACAGGCTGTTTGGAGCCTGGTGCTGATCCAGTCCAGCAATTCCTCTGCACCAAAGCGTGGGCAATCGATCAGTGCTGAAAGTCCTCCATCACACAACCAGAACTAGGTATCCATTTGAATCAGGAGGTTCCCAGGAGGTTTTGTTATGCAATCACAGACATAAAATCAAGTTACAGCAATTCACTTCCATCCCCCACAGCCAGTTACTACCCCTCCTCTTCTGTCTGAAGAAGGCTTGGAAGAGCAGATGAAAGCCTGCCTGTCGCCTGCCGGTAACTGTATAGGTCCCCCGGGCAGCACCATGTCTCTGGACTTGTCCCTCGCTGCCCAAGTCCCCTCCAGATCTCCCCTAGATCCAGCAGATTTCTTTTATTCATGAGGCACCCAGGCCAAAAGCGAGACCGCCGAGTACTAGGCTGCTGAGTTCAGGCGCAGAAAAAACACCCTCTTTTCTGAGCGGGTTTTGAATGATGGCAGCGGCACAAACACGACATGCACCGCAGCGTTCCTCTGGGACGCTCACCTCCCTGTCACTCACTGCTCTGCCTCCCGAGCGACACCCCGAAACTCAAGCGCGTAAGGGGACCGCTGTCATTTCAGCCTCCGCAGCAACACCGCAGAGCACCCCGCTTTTATGGCCGGCACTGCCAACCCTCTCTCTTTCGGGCCTCAGGCAAGACTCTGTGCCTAGGTCCAGGGGTGAAGAGGCTGGACGAGAGGTGCACGGTGCCAACAGACTTGCACGCCCGATGCTCAAAATCCATATCCAAGGGATGTTGTTGCCATTAACCGGTTCAGAAGATGTACGGCTTGGGTTCCACGGCTGCATCTGCCCTTGGGTTGTACCCACACTCCGTATTTCTGCTCTTATGGCTCTGCCAGGCTATTCCTCTACACCTGAGGGGGCCTTTCTATATAGCTACTTTTCCAGATCATGCTAAATTTGGTCTTATCCCTTTAAAGGTAGAGTAAAAGAGCAAAGTGTGCTGCTGCGGAAAGGTAAAAGTCCAAAGGGATGGACAGAGTGCCAGAGCGATAGTGGTTAGGCAGCAGTGCAGGCAGCCAGAAGTCCGTGAGTCGAATGGCACAATCTGGGTGTGGTGGAGCAAGGTGAGGGTTGAGGAAGACAGCAGTGAAACCCAGCTAGTCCGTGATGCCTCCTCCACCTGAACTCCACTGCAACGGCTCTAGTTCCAAGGGGAAGGATGCGGGGATGGATGTTAACTAGCCATTTCCAGAGCTGGCAGAAGGCTAACCAGAGCAGGGAATTTAGTTCCAGCTGCAACCCTCAGTGAAATGTTTAGTGCTAGTTCAGCTACGTCTCCACAGCACTGCGGCCCCAACAGGCATCCCCTAAGCAGTACTGTTCGGGGCAAGGCAAGAGCCTCCTGCAATGCCCCTCTGTGCTTCTGGGCTGGCCCAGTTCAAAAGCTGGGCCCGGCAAAGAACCACCCAGCACAGCTTCTGCCCAGAGAAGCTGTGGATGCCCCATCCCTGGAAGTGTCCAAGGCCGGGCTGGATGAGGCTTGGAGCAACCTGGTCTAGCGGAAGGTGCCCCTGCCCATGGCAGGGGGGTGGAACTGAAGGGTCTTTAAAGTGCCTTCCAACCCAAACCATTCCATGATTCTGTGATTCTATGAAATGCACAAAGGCTCCCGCTGAAGCCTTTCTCCCTTTCCGTCTCTTGCCCTCATGCCTTTGCATTCATCTGCTTATGAGTTTCCCAGAGAGGAAATTTTCTGGGCTTATCCTCCTGCCTGCACTCCTCTCCCTGCCTTACCCAGCTGCTTCCTCGTCCTCCGCCTCCTCCGACTGCAGCTACAGCTGCTTCTCTGCTGCTGCTTAGCTGTTCCCCCCTCCCTGCCTGGGAGCGAGAGATGCAGCCTGCAGTGCCAGAAAAGCTGGGGAGGGTGGCCAAGGCTGGTGGCGTGCGAGGGTGGGAGATGCCCACCCCTCCCTATCTGTGTGGGGTCTTGCCGCTCATCCTGTCCCAGCAGCAGCTCCACACGAGGAGCCCAGCAACATTATGGAGCGGTGGGGGGCTCCGGGGCTGTCTCCCCATTATTCCCCAGTCACAGAGAGGGAGACAAGGGCATCCCTGAGCCCTGGCGCGGCCGAGGCAGGCAGGCGCCCGGCACACACCGCCTCATCCTTTTGGGTTGTGCATCCCAGAGACCCTCAAAGGAGAAGGAGCAGTCCCTCTGGCTCAATGGATGCAGCCAGATTTACTCAGGCTGTTAAGTTGATTAATTGAAATGAAGTTCCTCCAGAGAATCGGCGTGTTCTTTGAGGTCAGGGTCACAACACTGAGACGCTTAATCAGATCTTTCCATTTAGCCCCTCTTAGGCAGGCTGGAATGCAGGCTCTTTCAAAGCGAGGCAGTTGGCGCCAAATTTCTGCTCTGCTATCTCGCCTCTTCCATTACATTCAACCAGCACATCCATCATTATGAAATAAAACCCAACTCTACAAATCCAGCTCAGGTGATCTTTCCACCACCAAAGCCGGTAGGTATAAAAAAAAAAACCCAAACCCCCCATCCAAGCTTGATACTGCTGTTGTTTTAAAAAGCGACACAGAATGGTGCGGAAAGGGTAACTGTCACTCTAAGTCGGTCCTTTCGGAGGAAGGGGCAGATGTTTCTGTGCGGATAACAAATTCTTTTATCTGACTGAAGCATTTCTCTGGGGAAGGTGGAGGAGGTTATTATAAGGTTACCCTGAACTATTGTTAAAGAAAGGGTTTTTCATTGCAATTCAAGAGCCCATCATATTACCCAGAGAAAAATCACTCCTGTAGGGCTATGGAACAGCTCTTACGCAACAGACAAGCTGGATCCCACGTGCATTAAAAGCTCTGAAAGCTTGTCCAATTGATCAGCCACAAGTTAGCATATCCAATTAACATGTACACTTCTGTGGACCTCTTCCATTCCTTCTTCACTCCCTGTAAGCAGAAGGATGTTTCTTACATCCAGATGTGCTGACTGAAAACAATGTAATTATTCCTATTTATTGTACCAGGCGATGTGGGGTCAGTACCTCCGTTTCACCATGAAGCAAGATGTTTATAATTCCAGGGGCAGGATTAGAAGTGCAATATATGAGCACCTTTAGGCAGAGCTGCAAAAGCAGTTAAGGAACCCCCCAGATCTTGGTAAAGCTGGTTGGTA